AGCACTGAAGAGCAATGGTGTCTCCCTGGAGACTAAGGTGAGTTTGATACAGGCCATGGTCTTTGCAATCACTTGTTATGCATCAGATAGGTGGACAATGACTAAGGAGGACAGAAGGAGAATTGATGCCTTTGAGCTGCGGTGCTGGAGAACAGTATTGAGGGTACCATGGACTGCTAAGAAAACAAACAGATTCACCCTGGAGAGGGTTAAACTGGGCTGCTCCTTGGGGGCAAGGATTCTGAGGCTCTGTCTGACATACTCTGGTCATGTTGTAAGGAGAGACCGGTCCTTGGAGAAGGACATCATGCTTGGGTGGAGGGCAAGCACAAGAGGGGAAGGCCCTCTGGGAGGTGGATTGATTCACTGACTGGGGTAACTGGGATGGGAGTGTCAGAGACAATGAGATTGGCACAGGACCGAACAGAGTTTAGGGCTGTTATACATAGGGTCACTATGAGTCGCAAGCGACTTGACGGCACATAACAACAACTATGTAACATAGGAAAGTCTGGAGAACATTATGCTGAGTGAACTAACTCAGTCTTATAAAGACAAATATTGCATAAGGCCATTATTGTGAAAATAGAAAGATGTGTACAAAAGTCCAAAGGGAGAAGGGGAGGGGAGAGAAGTGGGAAAACCTTGGGGTCTCAGAGTTTGGTGGGCTAAGGGAGAGAGTGAAGGAATTAAGAAAGATCCTGTGAGGACCTGAAAAGGTGGGGTAATGGTGAGTATGCATCAATAGCAATTAATTGTATAAAACACAATGTATGAGAATGAGCATATGAAATACAATGTGAATAGGAGAATGTGTGAAACACAATGTATATAAACAAAATACAATGTATATGAACTTTGTATGCAAACCAATATAAAATAAAAAGAATTTTTGTAAAAGCTACCTGGGACTTCATACTAAGTTTACATAAAAACATCCCTCCCAAAATATACACCAAAAGTAATTAAATGAGTGAGTTATTATTCAAATTCATTAATTTTCCTTTGAATTGATTACACCTAAGGAGAAAAAGATACACAGAAATATTTGCCAGCCTTCAAGATGCATCTGAGAGCAACTCACCATATAGCCCCAGTCTCCATTATCCATCTGCTCCAGCGCTGCGTCTCCGGGAGCCCAGGTTCCGGTGAAGTGAACTTCAGGAGGGGAAAACAGACCGGAGCAGCACATGGAATTATGACAAGAAGAACACAGAGGTTTTCTACCAGACAGAGCAAGCCGGAAACAAGAAAACCACTTATCTTCACTCAACAAAACCTACTCCCCGGTGCAGGTGTAAAATAAAGTTGCCCCTCAGACTCTCCCTGGCTGTTCGCACGCCCATCCTGAACATCTAACATTATTTACAAGCAGAAAGAAGCATCCTCTATGTAGAGGAGGAAAAAGAACCTAGGAAATAAACCAGTTGTTCAAGTCCTACCTATTTTTTTTCAAAATACAATTTTTAGGATTCCTGCAGGAGAATATTATGATTAACTCTGTAATCCTCTCCTGGTTAAAAAAAAAAAAAAATATTTGATGGCCTTTATAAAAAAGATTATTTAAGAGAAAAGGAGAAAGTTTTCAGGCATACAGACTAAGGGGAAGTATTTCAGCCATACAAACTAAACATCTCTATGAAAGAAACAAAAACCATAACCCTCCCAAAATATTATCATCTTCCAGAAGGAGTACTTCAAAATAGACATTTTGTTATCATATAAAATATCATTCTCCTAATTATGATGTATTTCACTGTTCACAATAAGCAAAACGCACAGAAAACACTTCAAATGCCAAGTCACTGGAGTACAATTTAGGGTGAAAAAGCCAATCTGGTTGACAAGGCACTTGGGGAGCTGGCCTCCAGACACTGATAAGCACCCAGTACTAGTGATGCCAGTTTGAATTTATTTTTATCGACAAATCAAAAAGCACTTAAACAAACAGTTTCCCAGCTACTGGGCTGAGTTAGTCAGTTCCCTCTCACATACTTCATCTCCCAAATCGACGTGCAAAGCAAACTGCTGAGCAAATTTCAAAAGCTCTGGCAAGAGATGGTAAGAAACACGGGCTTCTCGGTATTCGTCCAGGAAAAGCATTTGCTTTTCTAACGTGGTCTTTGAACAGTTCTACTTTCCCACTTTTAGAGGAATCTGGCACACAATTCCCAGAACAGGCTCTGGCTCTCTAAGATCACAAAGGCTCTTTCTCAAAAGGTCACTCAGGCATGTAGAGAACATTTGCATAGCACAGCAGGGGCTGAAATCAGAGCCCGAAGCATCCATTTCTCCACCTTGCAAATTCTTCAAAGCAAACAAGCTAAAATGTGGACCAGACCAAGTGGAGTGAGTTGGCCTCCTCCACACTTTGCAAGTGAATGAATATACACAGGCCTTCTACATGCCACACACAGGTTAAGAAATAGGGCAGTGTCAATGTCAGAGCAGTCACACAACCTTCCACTCTCTGACCTGCTTCACAAACAGATATTTGAAGTAAGCAGAAACAAGAAATGGACTTAGCCAATATATCCTGCAAGTCATTTATCAATATAACACTTTTCCTTCACTGGGTGATTTAAAAGGTCAGCTATTCAACATTTCTAGTAGAATGTTTATCTGTTAGCATCCGCCCAGCACCTAAAGTATTCCTGCCAGGCAGATGGAATAATAATTCATTCAACCAACAGTTACTGTGGGTCAAATAAGAGTTGGGGAAGGGGGGTGGGGGTGTGAGAGAGAGAGAGAGAAATGTGGCTGCACAGAAGTAGTAAAGGGGAAGTTCTTGCCCTCATGAAGCTTCCAATCTACGGAGAAGGACAACATGTAACAACTTAAGGTCAGAACAGAATCTAAAAGACAGAAAGAGGAGCCCTGGAGACGCAGTGGCTAAATGCCTGACAGTCTGAAGCCACCAGGGGCCTCTCGGGAGGAGGAGGTGGTGGCTGGCATCCTTAATGATTTAGAATCCTAGAAACCCCATGAGGCAGTTCTACTCAGTCTTCTGGAGCCACTGAAAGTTCCCTGGTGGGATAAGTGTTAAGGGCTGGGCTGCTAACCGAAAGGTCAGCAGTTCAAAGCTATCCACTGCTTGTGTGAGAAAGAAGGGCGTCCTCCTTCATTGGGATTCACAGCTTCAGAAGCCTGTTAAAGGGTGAGTTGGAAACAACTGACAGCAGAGAATGTCTTTTTTAATAGATTTTTACAAGTTGGAATCAAATTCCATAACGGTAATGAGTTTGGGGTTTATACAATAGATGGACCATCATCTGGTCCTGTGGAAGAAAAAGGGAAGAGATTCCAAATGAGAAACTGGAGAAAGATTGATTCAGTTGCATCCCAAAGGAAAAGTCGAACCACCTGAGAAGAGATTCTAAGTGGAGAAACAAAGGGCAGGGTCATGAAAGCTTTCCCCTCACATTTCTGACATCGTGGGCAGAGCACAGACGTGGATCACTAAAAAAGAGAAAACAATTACGTGACTTGCTCAAGGACCCACAACTGAAAAGAATTTAGGGTTTCTGACTCTCGGGCCAGATCTTTCTGAAAAACACCTTCTGGGAAAGAAATGGAAAAGACCAGATCTAAGAGATAGGGCAAGATGCAGAAAGTGACAACTCTAGATTCTCTACTATTGACCTCATCCACCTCAGGAGGGACTGACTGTTTTTGGGACACGTTGCAAGGAGGGACCAGTCCTTGGAGAGGGACGTCATGCTTGGGAGGGTGGAGGGTGCAAGAGAGGAAGACCCCCTATGAGGTGGATTCAATGACTGGGATAACGGGGGTGGAGGTGTCAGAGACAGTGAGATTGGCACAGGATAGAGCAGGGTTCAAGTGACTCGATGGCACATAACAACAACAACATTAGTAAATCAATCTAAGTGACTAGTTCTGTATGTTTATGCAAATTTTCTTAAGACCAAGAAATGGCAAGAACATCCATGTTTATACGACTGATGGCTACAGTCCTCTGTCCAAAGTGACATAAAGAATGTCAACCTGTGAATATCTGATTGAAAATGAAATTCAAAGGACTAAAAACAAGGAAAACAAAAACAAATGTCATCAGTGTCACAGCTTCAGGAAGGCCTGTCCACTATTAATCTTTAAAAAAAAAACAAACACACTGCTAAATCCAAACAAGATAAATTCTTGAATGATCATGAAAAGAAAAGGAGATGATGCTCCTAAACCTATCTACTCCACACGAAAGACAAGGCTCCGGAACAAAGTTGTAATGAGACCTCAGCTCAGTAATTCAGGAATCAATGATTGTCTCTAGGACTATGTTTCTTTAAAAAAAAAAAAATCCAGAAGACTTCATGTGTTTGAATACAAGACACACCAAAATAAAATGAACCAAAGCTACTCTTGGACACTTTCAATAATAACTAATCTGTATACACAAAATCCCACATGGTTCACTACAGACTCTTAAAAAAAAGTAGGGTCAATTGGTGTAAATTTCATTTAAACTTTTTTTAAAAAAAAAAGCAGAAAGGTTCCTGGTTACCCAGTAGCTGGGAATCTGCCTCTAAATTGATGGCTATTGGAAACAGTTCCAAGACAAACTCTGATGAGTCAAAATACAACGTAATCCAAAAGACTTTCCAGAATAGCTTCAATCTTTTATACTAAATCATCTTCCAATTGTTAACAATTAGAAAATGATTCATTTGCTTCTCATTTTCTCTCCCTTCTGACATTGTCTCCAGTGGAGGACTTAATGAGAAGTTAAATGAACACAAGATCAACAGAAGGAAGATCTTGAAGTGGGCACCAAATGGGCTTGTTTTATCTGCCCATATATACACATACCCCTAACAACAACAACAACAAAAAAAACACAAAAACAACCAATCCGATTGGCTTCAAGTGAATTCTGACTGACAACAACCCCTCATCAGCTTCCCAAGGCTGCAAATCTTAACACGAAGAGATGTATCTTTCTTTCACAGAGTCCTGGTGGATTCAATTCCCAAATCTTTTGGTTTACAGTCTAAACTCACTATACCAGAGCACCTTATCTACTATTTCAAAAAATTTGCAAGGAATGGAGATAATGAGGGTTAACAATGGGAGGGAAGGGAAAATCCCTAACTAAGCACAAAGGATTATAGAGTTCAAAGAAAGTCTTATGACCCTATAAAATCAGCTCACCTGAGAAGATCTGTGTCTGCAATTCTGACTGTAGGGCAAATAAAACTCCTGTGGAAACTTCTGGCTGATCCTTCCCAAGGAATGTAAAGTGGCTCTGACAATTGACCTTTAAGGTTAATTACAACTAATATACAGATTCTGGCAATGTTAGCAGGTAATTAAAGAAAATACATATTGGAGAACATGACCCTCCAAAAGCAATTATGGAAAACTGTCTACAAAGTAGCACATCTGAAGAATACACAATTCAACATGTCAACAACCTAAATCGCCTATAAAAGCGATTCTCTGAATCGGAATTACCAAATAACCAACTGAACACCTATATTCTGAGTTCATTATCTGTGCTATAGACTAAGGCTTCCGTGGGGCTAAAGGTCTACTACATGATAACCTTTTCCTTACAGCATATGCCTCTCCAAGCTTGAATAAATACTAAAAACCCTTACTCCTGTCCTCCAGGAGTTTCCAAGTAGCCCTTTAAAATGCTCTTCTATTGAAGCTGGGGTCTGGCATTCAAAATCCCCAAATAAATTCTCTCCATCTATACGTACCACCACTTCAAAATTACCTTTGTACTGAGTTTCTCTTTTCTTGAAACGTGGGAGTTTGAAAGTGAAATACTTTTTATAGTAACTAGTTCAGCGACATCTAAAGGAGCCTCCTGGGTTAACACTCCTGCACAGGCTAACACAAGTGGCCAGGAGCACCGGGAGAGTGTGGTCCCAGTGTTAAATTATCCTTCCACATGCCACTGCAGAAACGGAATCGTTCTTTCACAAACCAATTCTTTTCTCTCTCAACCCTGTGGTCTAGAAGAGAGGCAGGCTAGGTAAAAAAAAAAAAAAAAAAGCAGCCTAGGACTCTCATAAAATGATAAAATTCCTTACCCCAAGTTTCTGTAAGATAAAAACCTGGACAATATCAAACTTCTAGAAGAAATTATACCATATGTAGTACAATAAAAAAAGCAAAAGCTGGCCTACAGGTAACAAACAGATCAGGAGTAACTGGTGGGGCAAGTGCAGGAGAAAGAGAATTAGATTTACATACGATGAGGCCCCAGTATT